TAGTGGTTGAGTATTTTTTTCTAAAACCATGATTTAACTGCATCAATTATTTAAAAATAGAGACTTTAAAATACTTGATCGAGCATTCTAAATCAATTAAAATTTATTCAAATTATATTATACAATGTTTAAAAAACATAACCGTGATTTGCTTTGCATGTATAATTTATCCATTTAGTATATATATATATATACCTGTTCAAAATCTAACCTATACTTAATACTAATCCTAATTGAATATACTTAATAATTATCCCATAAAAAACAATACTTAATAATATTAAATAAAAAAATCTACCCAAAATCCCATTTGAGCCGCCAACTACCCACTTTTACAAGGATATGATATTGATTGTGTTATTTATTTTCAAGGTCTTTTGCTCAAATGAGTTTTGGCTAAGAAAGAATAATGAATAAAGAAAGAAAAGAGAGAGAGCAGAAAGAGTGCGTGGCAGCGTGGGATTAAAAAAAAATGAAAAATTAGCCCACTTTCATTTTCTCTCCAATTTGGAGGGACAGGTTGCACAGTATTTCTTTCTTCCCTTTTCCTTTCCCCTGTACTGTTTATTGTTTTGCAAACGGAGGAAAAGGGAGGAAAACTCCTTGGAACCCCAATTCCCCTCCCCTCTCCTCCTTTTCCATCCTAAAAAAACAGAGGGTAAGAGAGGGCATGTGAATTCTGTTATCAATCTTCTATAAGAAATGAGCATGTGTGGATGTCGTCCAAATGTGATTACTTAAAACACGGTAATACGAACCATGTTTATGAGAGTGAATTTTGAATATAAGTTCTGGAAGGTGCAAGTAAGGTGTGGTTGCCTCCATACTTGATAATCTACACACTACCTATAGAGGTTGTCTATATGCATTGTTGGGTTGTTCGTGTTGTGGAAGTATTGGAAGATATGACAATGGATGGCTTCTTTCCTAATCTTGCTACATACAACTCATTAGTCAATCTCACATGAAAACATGGAAATTTCGAAGATGTAGCTTTAGTTTAATGTTCTATCGCAAGAAATAGAACCAAATATAGTGACTCACAACACATCATCCATTCAAAGCAGTCAAAATCGGGATTTTACGTAAAATCGAAAATGGGGGTAAAATCGTAGGATTTTAAAGTCCATATCAAAATGAAGACAAAATAATATTACTAAGAAAAGTCATGAATAAAATAAAAGCACATAACACTTACAACGATAATTTTTCAAGGTTAATGTTCCAATTTATCAAGGTTAATGTTAAGAGGGTGGTGAATCGATGATGATTAATACGTTGATGTGAATTGATTATAGTCGATGGTGGTTAGTGTGAGAGAACAAGATGATGTTAGTGGAGGAGAAGAAAAAAAGGCATAATTTTTCAAATTCTGGGGAAATAAGTAAAATTGACTCAAAGATTTGAATCGTAAAATCGTAAGATTTTAAAGATTTCAAGGATTTAAATCGTGAATAGTGTAGGATTTTAAGGTGCATAGATTTTATAGTGAAATCAGAATCGGAATAGGTAAGTAAAATCGAAAAACGTAGGATTTTAAAATTTAAATCGGGATTTTGACTACTCTGCATCCATTTTCTTTCTAGCTGTGGCTACATGGATGTAGCTGATGAGATCCTTACACTTACGAAAATAAGTCTTTATCATCATATCGTGATTGTATACAATATCTTAATCAAACAATTATGCAAATGTGGAGATCTTGTTGAGCCATTGACGTCTTCAAACTAGATGGTTGACCAAAATTGTTTGCCTAACATCATAATTTATAACACTTTCTTTGGTGCTTTATATATAGTCGAAACAGAAACTTCGGTTATCGGTTAGCCGAAACACCCCCAAAACCTCACCGACCACCGAAAGAAATAAACTTTCGGTTAACCGGCCGACCGATCGCACGGTTTTTGGTTTGTGTCGCAATTAACCGCGAAACTGAAAAATTGTTGGTGGTGTCAGTTTAAACCAGTAACCAGCCGGACAACACCCCAACATGCATAGAAAATCATAATTCTACACATCGTCCATCAATTATTTTCAATGTATAAACATTTAACAAAGATTTTTAATTAATAAATAAAAATCTAGCAAAATTAAATTGTTAAAGTTGCGTAATATTGAAAGCCACCTTATCCTTTTCTTCTTCGACCCCCTTACCCACAAATAATTAGGGACCTTCCCTTTTCGTCTTTTACGTTCAAGTTTCAAACACGGCAACCCTAATTAATTATGACCATAAATTAATAACTAGCTTTTACCCGACCCGTTGGTCGGATGAACATCGTTTTATTTTGTATTATTTATGTTGATTAATATTTATATGTTAAATGATTTGAAATATTTATATAGTCGTTACATTATTTGTAGGTATTATTTGTGGATAGTTAGTTCATATGTTTTTTATTGATCAACTCGTCTTAGTTGGAACTTGGAAGACAATATCCCATTGTATTGTCGTACGATTTTTATCTCTACTTTCACTACAAAAATTTGCATATTTAATCTTTTTCTTTCTTCCAATTCTCCTTTTTTTATCCGATGACAACATATCATCGTGTCTTTCGACCTCTTCGACTGAGCGTTGCCCACCACCGCCTATCTCAATCTCACCTCTATCTTCATGTATTTTATAGCTAGAAATGGAGGATTCAATTTCTTTCATCAACGGTCGTGGATACGTTGTCCTCTCCTATCCCTTGCTAGTAAAGGAGTTTTTAGAAGTATATGTCTATATGGGAGTCTCAAAGAGGAATTTCTTTTATTTTTCTAAATAATATGGTAAACTTAAAATGGTCCATAAAATATGATAATGTTTACAAAACACCGTTATCAAGTAAATTAGATGCATAATATATGCAAATGTACATATTAGAAATAATGTTTACAACGACACATCTACTAAACTTACAAACTATAATCAAAATGTTTACAAAGTTACAAATTGAAATTACAATCTTTACAAACTTTGCAAACCAACTAACAAACAAACGTTACAAATGCCACACAACAGTATAAATCAAAGACTGAATGTAATCATGTGTTAGTTGAGTGAATTAAAGGTAATTTTCAATTCAAATGAATTAATTGAAAATTGTACACCACACCCATCTTTCTAAAATAAGTCTTCCTCTCACGCAGGCAACACACACCGTTGTTCCTGATCTTCCGGTTGAATAAAAGACATATTTGATAAGCGTGATGGTTGTGTACTGTACTGTACTGAACTGTAGTGGTGAAAGTTTGGTTTGCGGGTTGCGGATAATTCGTAAACTGCATCAAATCGTACACTTTATGGGTAACCATATCCACAATTTGTGGACAGTGGGTTGAGTGTGTTAGAAAAATATTGATTTTTGTGGTTAGTGGTTAACCACTATCCACAACGGTTAACCCACAAAATCTACAATAACCCCACTAATTATATTTACTTATTAATAGTTAACTGAAAAGTGGAAGGCTATAAATTAAAGTAGCCTCTAAAATCAAATAGTGTCCGTGTGAGATACTTTTATTAAATAAACATTGTATGCGTGGTATATGTTTATTTTATAACAAAACCAAGTCAACAAATGTGATTTATAGTTTATTAACTTTATTTTATTAGTTTATGTAGTTTTTTACTTTTGTGTAAGAAGAAACACAACATCAATATTAAATTACCCTAAACTATATTCAGTAATGAAACTTTCGTGGGTATCCACATCCAACCTTCAGTGGATAATGGTTAATCACTACCCAATGCGGTGTGGATTGTAGGTAGCATAATTCTATATTTGCTTATGTGATTAATCACAATATGTAGGGCGAGTCACCCACCCCAATTTCCACCCTTACTGAACCGTCATTGCTCATACTGTGAAGTGCACTGAATTCGGTAGGAACAGGTGGTCACCATTCCTCAAGCTAAAGATATTTGGTTTCTGTATAAAAATAAACTATAAACAGAAGAAAAAGGATTCAACATTACTACAATAGTGAGTGTCTAATATAGAATCTCGAAAAAGGGGAAAAAGATTAAAGAAGAAAAGAAGAGAAAAAGAAGACTTTTAAATTAGAAATACACATTAATCTGAAAAAGGAAGCCACCAAATAGCCTGACCTAAAAACACAAGATTCTTTTGGCTAATAACATATTCAGTTAACAAATGAACCCTGTTCATTGGAGCCTTTCCCTTGTTTCGGTTATCCATTCATAATTCTTTGAATGCGATATAAGGGGCATGATGATGTTCAGGGAGGATGGATGAGCTGCTGCTGCCACCGCTACTTAACATCTTCTTTAAGAGGTATCTCAACAATATCTCAGTAACCCTACTAACACGACGAACATAAATGACACTCCATCGCAGTTTCTGCTTCCCTCCTGCATAATCAGTTCCTGCAATCAGAAAATCCCCTTTGGCTTAAGATGAATTCCAAGACGTAAATCCTGATTCAATTGAGAACTCAGGCAACCTTGTTGAGCAATTGTACCCAGAACCTATCAGAATAATTTTTTTATTCCCATAAGCCGCTATTATTTTGTCAAGTTGAGTAAGTAGTCTTCCCTGCAACACAACTTTCACAGGAAAAACACTTCCAAATGAAAATAAAGACCACTAAATCATAACTTAGAATAAAAGCTCAATAAATAGAGTAAGTCATAGGAATAATACTCAAGGAGCAGGACTTAATTTCCTTTTGCTTTGAATTTCGGTTTGTTGAAGAACATAGCTCTTTATCATGCACAAAAACATAAAGTCATAAGCTGGAATGCAAATGAACAGAGTCTCTTACTATTCCTTATGCTACATCAATGGCCACATATTTAATTGGGGCATAAGGGTCGTCACTTCATCCCGTGAATAGAATCCTTATATAGGAGACCAGTGCACAATTAAACTTTGACTAAATATACTGTAGATTTAATACATAAAAGCATAAAAATTAGAATTTAGATTCAGTCAGCTATATAAGGATTTTGTGTAGAGGTCAAGGGGACATAGAATGGATAACCTACCAATGCGTATATCAAAAGTCCAAAAGGACCTTGCAGCTATTAAGTTATGAGGCAGAGAACTCCAGATCGAAGTGGATGAGAATGTGGACCTGGTGAAAAGCGGTAAATTACCAAATCAAAAGCACCTCACCATGACAACTCAAGAACAAAGGGTAACCTACACTTCATTGCATACATAGTTCGCAAATAAGGTAGGGGTTCAAGATGACATCACAATTGGAACTGAAAATCAAGACATAGAGATATAAAGCTAAATTTCCATAAATAAGGAACCCTCACTCTGTCCTACAAATTCAAAACTTGCGGAACTTGTGATATGAGTATTCAGAAGGTGAGTTACCACACAGACTGAGCTTCCCCCCTGAACACAACCATTCGGCAAGCCAGAGAGTACTAAATCAACCCTACTGCATGGGTGGGGCGTGAACACCAATGCATGGAATAGAAAGGGCTATTGAGACATAAAATCATTTAGAACGGGAGAAGGAATATAAGGGAATTAAGGGGCGAACATGGAGAAAGAAACTTATCTTCTGTTCTGGTTCTCCACTACTGCGGGAAGGGAAACCAAAAAATGAAAATCGTGACAGACCTTAACAAACCTGTGTCGCTTCACTCCCAACTCATCGTCGAGTCTCTGCATTCCATCCTCAGTACAGGTGGTTTCGAAATATGTCATTATATCTATAAGGCTGTGGGATGGAAGAGAAGGAAAATCACAATCTATGGAGCATTGTGTTTGTGAATAGAGAAGGGGAAGAAGTCTAGGGTTCAAGCAATGGGAGAAACAAAAGCAGATGATGCAAGAATTCTATTGAGATATGCCTCGAAGGGGAAAAGTATTGAGGATTGACACAAATACGCTTGCGGCAAGTTGAGAGACGAAGAAATTTGAATTGACAAAATTCTCATAAAATTCTATAAAAGGTCAGTTGAAATAGCAGAGACACATTCTACAATCTAGGCTTCTGAGACAAATAAGGAATAACCAAGCATAAATTATGTATTTTGATGCAAGAAACTTCAAATGTAGAAGAATGTCATTGCAACAGAACTGTTGGAGTTGACAACTTCTGCACACAATGAAGTCCTCTCTACTGGATCCCATGATAACAAACTATAGTCACATAAACCACATCAATGAACCCAGAAGCTTATGACAACAATTTCATTCACAAATGCCATAATACTTTTACCATCAATAGTTGATCTGGTTTTTTAAACGAACTGAAGACAAATCAGTATATTGACCCTACGGTACGATTGTGACTAAATTCAGAAACAAATAAATTCCGAGTTTCCAGGTTGATCATAGTTTGCTATCCACTCTAAAAAAACAATAAAGATATACCAAACTTATTCAAGCTATAGCTGGTAGCATCATGAACATTTAATTTGATGTCACTTATAGAACGAAGCTGGAAAAATTAATAAGAGAAATTGAATCTTGAGCACCTCCAAATGGAGTGAATTCTTCCTAACCCAAATCTGCCATACCTTCAAATATTGCAGAAATTGAAGCTCTTCTGGAATCATGAACAATTAGGCATTTCCTTCCACACCTTCTCCATGTGTTGTTCGCCCAATCCTATTTATTTACTCCTAAAAACCAGAAATTCAATCTAAATTGAAGAGCACCAACACAATTAACCAATGTGAAGTGAAAAAAGAAAAGTACCTTAGGCTCACCAGGAGGATCATAATGCACAAAGCAATCCTGAACGGGAGTGGAGGAAGGAGTAGGAGCAGCCGTCAACCGGTAACCTAATGCATCGCGTTACAGAACTGACATCCATCAGTGGCGGTGGTATGCAATTATTTGCAAGATTGGTGCACCGTAGAGTAGATTGTGAAGTGCAGGCACCTTAGCTCACAGATGAGAAAGGGCCTAAGGATTCTGTTAGGAAACAAAAGGAATATTAGTTCAATGAATGAATATTAGTTCCAGCAAACTTCCCGACCGCCGCCACGAGGTTGTGGGATCTCAGCTCCCCGTCGATCCCGTGCACGATCAAACGGCCGCCGCCGTCGTCGTGCAGATTCCAATCACCGCCTTCCCACAGAGCTCCGCTTATCCCAGTGAGTGAATACTCGAAGCAGCGGCGCTCGCTGCGGGGAGTCGAGGATAAAATCCGCCGCGCCTGATGCTTCAATACCGCTGAATCGACCCGAATGTCGCCGCCCCGAAATACCAGTAGCAATTTCAGGCCTATGGGGACGCCGTCTCCGCCCGGTGATACTTGATCGGAGATCCAAATAATCCAAACTCGAAGATCTGAAGACAACCCCCAGGTTTCCGCACAGCCTCAACCCGTCGACCAGCCGGCTCAACTCAACCTCGGCGAAGATGGGCTCTCTTACGTCATCTCCAATCACCAGTTTCGAGGAACCGACTTAGACCTCGAACTCGAGCAATTTAACAGATAAGGACCATCAAACGCGATGGTCGGGCGCAATCGATAAGGGAAGAGGACAGACAGACAACAACTTCTTCTTCTTCCCACCTCCGATTCTCTCTTAATAACAGTAGAAAAAAACAAAAGGAACTGATGCGAAGGGGAAGAGGAAGGAGCTTTGTCTCTGGGAAATAAAAAATAAATACAAATTAAATGAGAACGTGGGCCTGGCAGGAGAAAAGGTGGGTAGTGGACAGTTTTTTGGTTCTGAAATCAGGTGGGACTCCTTTTTTTTCCCGCTTAACACTCTGCCACATCAGCTTCCTAAAATCACTCTATGGGCAGGAAATTTTGAATGGGGGGTGCAGTTTTACTTTTCAGCTATAAATTATACTGTTGATTTGTTATAAACTCTTTTCTAGGAAAGAAGACTGGAAGATTAAAAAATAAGAGCATTAATTTGCTCGAAAATGGAAAGAGTATTAATAATTTTCCCCTTCTTTTACTGCTTTCTACAAATACAGGGATATGAATTTGCTCGAAAATAGGAAAGAGCATTAATAATTCCAATCCCCAAGACCAAACATTTGACTCGCCAACACACTTATTACGTTTTTAATTTGAAGTTTTGAACGTTTGGATGTGGGATTTCGGTTGGGGTCGGTTAGCCGGTTAACCACGGTTAATTATCGTCGGTTATTCGGCTAACCGACTCCTTCCTTTTCCCATCCAACTACCGACCGTCAATGTCTTCCGTCAGTTTTTGGTTACCGACTTCGGTTATAACCGACCGATTTTCGGTTATAACCAACGATTATCTGCTAACCGGTAACCGATTGCCCAACCCTAATAGAGAGACATAATGGTTCATGAGGCCTGAAATATTCAGGATTTTAGATGGTAACAACTGTTCACTTGAGTTGATAACTTACAACACTTTTATGGAAAGACTCAATCGAAGTGGCTATGTGAAGACCACTAATGCCTAAAAGTCCAATAAATAAACATGAAGTAACTGAACTACAAATATGTGTTTTCATTTCCCCATTTTCTTTTCCGTTCTTTCAATTTGTTATGCAACTGTCCTGAATATTATATGGTAATTTAACATTAAAAGTTGCTAAACCTTTATGAATCACTACTATACAATTCTTGTAATGAATAGAAACCTCTTATTATGCTATCTTCATCACAAGTTCGAATTCTTATTCAATAATCTCTTGCAAAATTGTACAATTTTCGACAAGACTCTTGACCACCCACCTTTTGTAGATAAACAAAGGAAAATTACACTAAACAAGTTAACAACTCATGCACTTTAGCAAATATACAACAACATAAGAAGAGCATTAACTAGTATTTAATAGATATTACATATGACACCAAGCTTGCTTGCTCTTGGGTGAATACAAACTTACAAGGGCGGATAATTCGAGCTCGTCAATGAACATTGATAACTTTATGCAATTTGCATCAATAATAACAATAAAATAAAAAATAATCTTGTGATAGAATAGACATTAACAAGTTGCAATTAGAGGGTTCAATGCATAGGTTCGAGTCTATAATTTTTGGATCACAATGATTACAATCAACCAGAAAATAAAAAAAATTTCCAAAATAAATATAGACAATTTCATATTGATTACCTGGAATTTCAAGTAGTCCCGAAATCAGTGTTGAGTAATACAATTGCTTTGCTGCATTTCATGACCACGGCTCCTATAGCTTCAGCAGAAAGAAGAGATAAGTTGTAGAGTTATAAGCTTCAACATCTTTCTTCAATTTCTCAAATTGCGAAGAATGAACGACCTTAGTTTTTGAACATATGTCAACAATATCATTTGGGTTCAGATGGGTTATTTTTGGTTGGTTTGAGTTGGATCAGTTGGTAAATTTGGATGGTGAGGTGGTAACTATTGTTAATTATTTGGATGACATAGTCCGTTGACAAGGTGGGTTTAAATTATTTTTTAGATGAAGATAAATAAAACGATAATTTCATCATACATTTGGATCCATGTTATAAAATTGAGCTAAATGAGAATTTTGGGACTATTTTGTACAAATCCAAAATTTTGTAATGCTAATGCTAATCATCCCATGATGAAAAGTAAAACGTGTTTGTGGGGGATATCAGATATGGAACCCTCGAGAAACATAAACAAATATCAATAGTACCAGCAATAAAGATTTTGAAAAACAAGTGAGAGCTAAGAACTTCAAAAGTCCCCTGAATCAGACGAAGACACGTGTCAAAATATTTTGAACGTGCGTCTATATGGAATTTTTAACCGTTATTAGCAGCCACAGAGAAGATAGATAAGCTAATAGATTAGAACGAGAAGCAAACAACCTACCAAAATATAAAAAGAAACATAAATAAAAGGGTGAAAAAATTAAAAGGTTTCGACTATATGAAGTAACCACCTCCTCTTTCCCCCTTCTTTCTCTCTCTCTCTTTGATTGAGAAAAAAATGTGCAGATGAAACAAGGGGGGAAAGAAAATTCTTTCTTGGGAGCCAATCTATTTTCTGTAAATTCTCTGCTCCCTCCCTTTCCTTCTTCATCTCGCAGAATTTCCATCTCCAAATCCAGATAAAATTCTCCAGCCTTTTCTCGACTCTTGGTTTGAATTCCTTCAGATAATTCTGAAGCTCGACTATGGTGTAGTTTGAATGCAATGCGGTTCATCCATGATCTTACATGTTGTTGTTGTCTTCTCTTCTGATCTCTCTATATTTTGAATCTTGAAAACGGTCGAGCTTTCTGAATTATTTCTTATTATTGTTGTCCCTCTACAATCATCCAATTCGATTGTAGATTCTAGGGTTTTTTGCCGAATTGTTGGGTCAAATACCAAAAAGGAAAAAAAATTATGTTAAATTAGTGATTTTCTCCTTCAGAGACAAGTTTATTACAAAATCATAGAGATGCCTTGCAAAATTTAAAGCAATTCTGGTATATTTCCTCAATTTTGGGAAGAAGGCCTATGAACTAGAGTTTTGATAAGCGATGGATCATCTTGTCGGTGGAAAATTCAAACTCGGCCGCAAGATCGGCAGTGGATCTTTTGGGGAGCTATACATTGGTTAATATTTGCTTCTCTTGATTATTCGTTCTTTTTTCCCCCCCTTTAATACAGTTTGGGGATTTGGGTTTGTCTTATAGTTCTAATAAAAAATTATTTGCCTTCATTTTTATGCAGCTGTCAATGTCCAGACGGGAGATGAAGTTGGTGTGAAGCTGGTAATGAGAATTTTTAACTGTAAACTTATTTCCATTTAACATTGTGATTTCTCTTTTTGTTGTGTTTATTAAAGTGAGCTATGTTTTAGTTTATTGACTGGCTATATCGATGATGATTGCTTGTTGTTAGAATGGTCTTTCATTTCAATTTTAAGAAATTCTCCACCTTTTGTATCTTACTGGTTTTCTGGCGAATGACAAAATCTATAGCAAAGATGTGAAAATTTTAGATGGCAGAGGAGAAATCAGCTTAGGGATAGTGAGTAATCAATCTTGAAGGCTTTGTGAGTCCACACCTTTGTTCTATATGGTCTCAAATCTCAAGTATGACAAATTGTAGCCATTATATTCTATTGACGAAGAGAAATACTTTTTTGTTCATATGATTTAATTCCCTCTCACTCTTAGTACCAGTTTGCCCTGTCAATTCAGATGGCTTTCCCCTGGCTTTTTGATAATTATCTAAAAATGTTTCTACTTATGTATTGCAAAGACAACATCTTTTAGTTATTTGAGTTATTGTCACTGGCTCTATTCCATAAATTTCCTTAATCACTAATATTTGAGTTATTTGAGTGATTGTCACTGGAGCTCTTTTGTGTTCCCTATCCTCCGTCAAGCTTTCTTTCTATGATAAATTACATGATGAATGCTTTGTTTTCAACTATTGAATGCCATTTCTTGGGGGAAGAGGATGGTTTTGCTACGTACAAAGTTCTTCCTTCTTATCCTCATGAATTTTAGATAATGTAGAAGTAGATAAAAAATATAAACTCTTAGTCTTTCTGAAGTTTCAGAAAAGCCTTAGATGGAATTTTTTGGAAACCCTGAACATCGACTTGCATGGAGATGCCATTGACATATCACATTTTAGTACTCTTCTCTATTTATTAATGCACTTGTGATCTTATTCGTAGGAGCCTGTGAAGACCAGACATCCTCAGCTACACTATGAGTCTAAAATTTACATGATTCTCCAAGGGGGAAGTAAGTTATTTTCTCCTTCACATACGAAGGAAAATTTCACTCTTAGCATGATAATAAGGATTCCATAAAACTTTGAGATTCATCATATATGTTGTAATTTTTTTGGGTAAATTATCAACTATCATCTTGCAGCTGGAATTCCCGAGCTCAAGTGGTTTGGTGTTGAGGGTGACTATAATGTCATGGTCATAGACCTTTTGGGGCCAAGCCTAGAAGACTTGTTCAACTACTGTAACCGAAAATTTTCTTTAAAGACGGTTCTTATGCTTGCAGATCAGTTGGTATGGTATTTACTCACTTCTCTTTCTATATTTTTTGCTACCTTCAACCATTCATATTATAAGTGTATACCATTTTTTTACTTCTCAGATTAATAGAATTGAGTATATGCACTCAAGGGGTTTCCTCCACCGTGATATAAAGCCTGACAACTTTCTAATGGGGTTAGGACGCAAAGCTAATCAGGTATTTATGCACATACCATTTTGCACCTTATAATAGGTTTTAGGGCGCCTTCTCTATAGGTGCTAAATTTTCTTCCACATTAAACCCAAAGGGTTGATTTAATAGTAATGGAACATGACAAATATCCACCATATCATGGTTTTGAACCTTTGTTAGCATCAATGACCTAAAAACAATATTTTTACATAATTGTGCATAGCGACTAATATTTTAATATGATAGATAGTTAAGCTGCTATAAGGGACTTGAGAGGGATACTTATGGTTGATATGAGTGATAATAATGATGATGAATGAGCTTGTTAGTTTCCTTACCTTTAGTCATATATCTTTTTGATAAGAACTTTGAATTTCTTTGAAGATAATTGTGTTTAGTACATTAACTGCAGAAAGGAAGTTTTGTTATTCCTTACTCATGCTCTTCTTGTCAATTGATTTAACAGGTGTATGTTATCGACTATGGGCTAGCAAAGAAGTATAGGGATCTTCAAACTCATAAGCACATACCATATAGGTAATGCACTCTTCACTTTCTTTGCCTTCATAATACTATAAAGTGGCACGTAAACCCCTGTTGTTGTCTTTCTTAGAGAAAATTTCTTTTGTTTTTGTTGGGTGGCTTCACTATGGTATTGTCCTAGGTGGGTTTTGGGTAGAGGTTCATGCATAACTTTTCTCCCTTGTGAGTACTTAAAATATTGTGCTTGTTTAGTGAGCAATGATTTTCTAGAAATATTTTTTTTATAGCTTTATCTGTTTTCATGTGAAATGTTTATCAGAGCTATATCCATTCGAATTCAGATCGATATCAGTGACTGCCTTTTGATCCGAGGCAACTTCCATTTTGAGCTTCTTCTAAAATTGCGCTTGTAACATAAATGTATATAAAGTAGTTGTGACACTTCATGTTATGCAAGATATCATCTACCATGTTCTCTTATATGTATGTTTTTTTTCGTATGTAGATGTTTATGTTCTCTTCTCCGTGATGTGTATACATAAAATTGAAAATTGATGATTTTGTGGCATTTTTTCCTCGGTTCAGAGAGAACAAGAATCTTACAGGAACAGCTAGATATGCTAGTGTTAATACTCATCTTGGAGTTGGTAAGTAAAGCGTTGTTTCATTTCTTAGCTGTTAGTTGATAATGAATTATTGTAGCTTGTCTTTATGCCTCGGTTGAAATCTAATGGCGATTTAGTTTACCCTACATTTCAGAACAAAGCAGAAGAGATGATTTGGAATCCCTTGGATATGTACTCATGTATTTCTTAAGGGGAAGGTTGAAAACATACAAAAACTCTTATATTTGTTGCTCTTAGTTTTATCACCATGCCAATTATTTTAGAATATCTCAGAGCATAGCTTATTACTTATGATTGAGAAGGATCTTACTTAATTTACTCTTGGCACCAGCCTTCCATGGCAGGGTCTGAAGGCTGGAACGAAAAAGCAGAAGTATGATAAAATTAGTGAAAAGAAGATGTTGACACCAATTGAGGTATCATTAATTTGAACTTAACGGATGCCACAACACTCATGTCTATGTGATTTTTCTCTCTTTGTGACCACAATGGATTTATAGATGGAAAAGGTCGTTCATGACTTTTCAAACATTTGGGCAGGTTCTTTGCAAGTCATATCCGTCAGAGTTCACATCATACTTTCATTATTGTAGATCCTTAAGGTTCGAAGATAAGCCTGATTATGCGTATTTGAAAAGGCTGTTCCGTGACCTTTTTGTTCGCGAAGGTGAGTAAACGAGTATCTTTAGTTAGGTTTTTTCCTTCTAATGTAATAATATCAATAACCATCCATGATATGTATTATACGTAGGCTATCAGTTTGACTACATATTTGATTGGACCATATTGAAGTATCCGCAAATAGGCTCCAGTTCTAGAAGTCGGGTCAGTGATTCATGCAGTCTTGCAGAGTCCTTATTTGGATCTTCTAATGTTGAATCATTTTATGTTCTTAATTTAATCATCGTTTCTTCCCACCAGACTAGTGGCACAACAGGGCCAAAACCACAAGCAACAGGTGAAAAACCAGAAAAGGCATCAGGTGTGTTCCTTCCCACGATGGGAAGGTATATAATAATAACTGGCAAATTTCTATGATTTTTTCAATTGCTTTGTTAATGATGGGACTCCACTAACAAGTCATCTTGTTTGGTTGGGTTGGGCATAACTGTGCAAGTAAATATATGATTTTTCCTTACCGTTGATACTTATTTCAGGCATTTGAATGCATTTGAAATACACAAAATTTTCTCTGCATAATTATATTGTAATTTCAAGTACTTGGGGTAGGGATTTGAAACTTCACTCTAGAATCAAAGATAAAGAAAGAAAATGCATATTAGAAAAGTGCCACATATTCCTTTAGAAGACGTTTTAATCACAACTGCACATAAATTAACTATATTTTTGCAAATAGATCTCACATGATACCACCCGATATTTGTATAACAAACCAAATACGCCATTGATATGTTATTTCTCTATCCACCCGATATGCTTTGAGATAGATTTATGTTGGTATGCACTATGAAACCTTTTGTTTTCCAATACATCTTTATAAAACATAATAATGTCTGACATGATTTTCTTTCTGGGTGTTCGTGTATTGTGTTGGCCTGTATGCTTAATCCGGAGAGACCAGGGACTCGTGAAAGGCCAATGTCAGGAGGTGTAGATGCTTTAGCAGGTAGAAAGAGTGCTTCTGGTATAGGGCATCGTGAGCGCTCAAAGCACAGGCAAGCCGAGGATGGATCATCCTCCAAGGACAATGTAAGTTTATATAAAATGAAACTTATTTCATGCTTGTTTTACAATATTCTTATTCTTGTGTCTGGATTAATTATCACAACAATGAAAACAAGTTTCTATTTCTTATGATAAATTAAAAAGCAATCAAGTGTGTTTCATACTTCATAGGGTGTCTATGGTGTGCTGTCATTTTTTGGTGTATAAAATATACCATTGCTTTTACTGAATGGTTCACGATGAACTTGTAGATCTTAATCAAAGTTTTGTTAATCTTATATATGGATCTTGACAAATATTTTGAGTAAAAATAAAAAGTTCATTGTTAACCATTTAATGTTACTGCAATTCGTTGAAAATCTAGAAGTGCATGGAAGACATGCCCTGTTACTTATGTCTTTTAAAAAAATAAAGAGAATGAGAAGAATTTGATAGTGTAAAGATAAAATAGCATTAAATTTTAGTGGGTTTCCATTAATCCTTCTTGTATGAACTCATTCCTATAATTTTTCTTTTTGTAATTGTCAAATTTATGCCAAATGTAATTCCATTTTGGCTACACTATCGTCATTCTAAGCTTAATAAAAATTGAAAATGCAATACTATACCTAGATTTTCCTAGGTTATTCACACAAGCTGCATTGACATTCATTGTTTTTTCTGTTTCACCTTCTTCGTCCTCAGCGATCAGACGTTGAGAAAAGCCGACCATCTTCCTCACGGAATATGTCAAAGAAAGCAGTTGCATCGTCCAGTAGATTGAGCTCATCAAACGTAGGGAGTGAAAGTCGATCAAGCTGGCTCTTCTCCAACAGCAGTCGCCTCTCAACTACTCAAAGAATCCACTCTGGTTCTGATACAAAAGCCCCATTAGCATCTCACCACCAAGGTGGGAGCACTCCCCGAGAATCAACTCGCACTGAACATCAGCTTCGTAGCTTCGATAACCTTGTCATTGATGCAGACAGGAGGAGGCAATGAAACCAATCCAAGGGCTTCATACCAGGTACCTCAACACACACCCCTTGACCCACCAAACACTCACCCCTCATGCAAGAGGGGTCAAGAGCCAAGCATTGACACCCTTCAACATCAACCACCCAAGTGGGCACCCCACCATACTTAGCCAAATCTCGTCCCACCAGCCGCCTACCTACCTCGAGTAACTACCTCTAGACGTGGCAAGGAAAGAAGGCAAAATTTGGCTAAGTGTTGAGACTCAACCACAAGGGGGGTCATGCATGACACCACAAGGGGGGTCATGCATGACACCACAATGGGGTCAAGCACCAAGTACCATGGCCACCTACCTACCCTTGCACTCCAGTATCAAGCATGATGTCGTGCAAGGGGGGCCATCGAGAGTATCCCTACATGTGATGGGGAAAGAATGCAAAAATTGGTAAGGGTTGGCATCAACCATAAAGGGGGTCAAGCATGACATTGTCCAAGGGGGGTCAAGCACCAATTACCATGGCTGCCTACCCACCTTGCACTCGGGGTATTGAGTATGTGGCGGCAAAAGAAGGTGAAAATTTGGTTAAGTGTTGAGATACCACCACAAAGGGGGTCAAGCATGACTAGGGGTGTACATGGGTCGGGTGGTTCGGGTTTAGTCATTTTAATATCAAACCCAAACCCACCCAAAAAAATTTAAACCCTACGGTTTGTTTCTAATTGGGTTGGGTCGGGTTGGCGATATTTTTAAGTAAAAACCCAACCCAACATAAAATATATAATTATTCTATATCATAAAAAATATTTTATAACTAATTAAAATTTCAAATGAATGAACCGAGGTGAAAGGTATCAAAATTCACAAATGTTGTTTGAATTTTAATAAAATGTGATCTACTTCAACATATGTCTTGTTTTTTTCACAATATTTGTGAAAATAGGCTAAAATTTTTATAAACAAACGCACTCATAATATGTTATTCTATTAAAATTGTACACAAGAAAAAGGATTACGTGAATCATAACTATATTCAATTTATGTCTAAACTTTGAGTCGAAGAATGCATTAGATTAGGGAGACCATGAGAGAAAAACATGTTGAAATATCTTAATTTTCTCATAAGTATATGACTATATACGACATAAATATTTTTAGATCCGAACTCATACTAATAGTTGGAACACGGGTTGGGTCGGGTTCTACGGGTTGTGTAATCCAAAATCCAAACCCAACCCAAAGGAGGCGGGTTGTACAAAAGAAAACCCTCACCCAACCCAAAACTTTCGTTTTAGGGATAAATACGGGTGGGTTGGGTCGGGTTGGACGGGTGGGTCGGTTTGCGGGTGTGTTTGTTCACCCCCTAAGCATGACATCATCCAGGAGGGGGGGCAAGCACCAAGTACCATGGTCACCTACCTACCTTGCACCCGGGTATCAAGCATGATGTCATGCAAGGAGGGTGATATCAACTACCTCTAGATGTGGCAAGGGAAGAAAAGCAACGCGAGTCCCTAAAACGTGGTTGCAAAGAAAGGCAAAATTTGGCTAAGCGTTGAGACTCAACCGCAAGGAGGGTCAAGCAACACTACAAGAAAACCTATATATAGCGGCTAATTGTTGAGGCAAATATTGTATTTGCCTCTAGAAGTATACTATATTCAACGGATATACAATTTGCCTCAATAGGTACTATTATGTGCCTCTAAAGGTAGTAGATATACTACTAATATATGATTTGCCTCTATAGTATTTTTTATAGTCTCTATAGTTATTAAGTTATGCAACTCTCAATTATATGTAGTGACTAATAATCTCTTTGGCACAATAGATGGTTAGTATTTGTTGCTATAGCTAATATATCTCTTTAATATTCATATATATCACTTTAAAAAGACTCGCAATTAATTGTAGAGGGCAAGTTTATAATAACTCTAGGGGAGATAAAAAAAAAGGAAAGGTTGCAGTTAAAAATAAAAATTGTAACCATAAAAAGAGGTAAATGAAAGGTTGGGATATGGAGATTTTTGACATCCCAAAGCCCTCTTTCCTCTCCCTTCACAGTTCACACTTCGTCCGTCCATCTCTGCTCTCCGCTTCGACGCTTCCTTCTCCCACTGCTAATGCCATTTTTTTACCCATCATCCTCTTTCACTCCCTTCAAACCCATATCGATCTTCTAGCCATATCATGAAAGAAAAATCGCCAGCACCCTCTTGCTTCCATCGTCTCCGTCGAGCTGGGTCATCATAGTCGTCGTCGAGCGGCACCGCCGATCCAGACTCAATAAAACATCGAGATTGAATTCGTCCTTTTGAGGCTGCTTTAATCGATCTCCCTGCCACATGTTCCTCTTCTTTCATGCTAACATCATGCCGAATTGAAGAAGAAAAGCACTATCTCAGTTCGCAATCACAGATCTGCAAGAGTTCGATCGCGCAATCCCCATATCAGTTATCCCTTAAAGTATCAGGTTGTTGTTTGAGTAGATCTGTGATTTTCGGTAAACATATTTACCCTTGACAGCATTCGCATTTTGTGGAACTGATTTCAATATTCATTTGACTTTTGCTGTGCAGGTTGAAGTTTGAGAGCATGCGCTGAAAGTTTGACGAAGGCAGTTAAGGATGGTTCAACAAATAGTGTTCTAGTATTGGCAATAATCGATTCTGTGTGTTTGAGAATGTACTGCTAGTTATTCATCGGGGGAAAATCATGTACTGATATTTTGTAATTTTGGGAGTGACTTTCTTGTATTTTGATAGAATTCTTGTATTCTGATTCCCCTTGTGAATTTCATGATTCCAAATGAATAAAATCTCCACTGCTAATAATTAATTGTATAAATAATGTACATAAATTGAAAATATATTTCAATACAGAATATTATTTGCCTCTACAAACACAAACAGAGGCAGATTTTTATGTCTCATAAACTCTATTTTTAGGAACAAAAATGTTTGCCGCTAAAATGCATTTTAGAGACAAAATTGTGTGGCCATAAAATTGGTATCAGCGGCTGAAATGTTAGTCGCTATATCTCTAATTAGAAGCATATATTATTTGCCACTATATTTTCCTCTACAGGGCTATAGCCACTGGAGTATTAGAGGCAGAAATATCATTTGCCTCTAGATACATATAGAGGCAAATAAGTTAATTATAGAGGCAAATTTTCTTAGCCACTATAAATGAGTTTTCTAGTAGTGCAAGTAGGGCTGTCCATTTGGTTTTGGTTTTTTGGTTTTAACCGAAACCAAACCAATTGGAAAGCTAATGGTTTCAGTTTTTTGGTTTTAAACCAATAAGCAACTTAATGGTTTTGGTTTGGTTAAAACCGAAAAACCAATAGAAACCATTAAGAAACCAATAAGAATAAAATTATTTATCAACAAATATATTTTTTTTGTTTCTTTTGACACGCATGCCAACCAATAATTTGTAATGGCCATTTACCATTATTATGACGTTTATTCAATAAAAAGGAGGGAAATAGGAATAAATATGAGTGTATGAGTACATGTTGGTTTTTTGGTTATCCAAACCAAAACCAAAACCATTAAGGCCCTTATTGGTTTTTGGTTGCCAAAAACCAATAAGGGCCTTAATGGTTTTGTTTTTTAGGGTTTGGTTTTTGGTTTTTCATACTTAATGGTTTGGTTAACCAAACCAAACCAAATTGACAGCCCTAAGTGCAAGATGTCATGTTAGGGGTGTTCAAGCACTACTACTGGGACCGACTACCCACCTTGTATAGGGCGTCAAGCCATGCAAAGAGAGCCGTCACGAGTACCCCTAAACGCAGTGGGGAGGAATGAAAGAGTTAGCTAACTATTGACATCGTATCACTCACTTACCCGAAAGTCAAGCAACTAGCCAACCACCACAAGGGTGCCATGTATGACATCAGGCAATGAGGGTTGATGTCGTCATTTTTGTGCGACTCACCTCTCCAGTACCCAAGCAGAGCAGGGGGTAGACACAATGTGCTATCATTACAAGTAGCAGGTATGCTAGGCCTCATGAGTAGTCAGGCATGATACATAGTAAACAAGGTTATTAAGTTTCTAAGTGTCAACCATGTATATCATCACATGGTAGACCACCTTGTCAGACGCTACAAGCATGATTCCACCCCAAAAGGGTTAGTGGGCATCCATCAAAGAGCAAGGTATCAAGTGGCAAGCACGCAAGGTAGTTAAGGCGTCAAGCAACCTACATCAAGCACCAAGCAGTGGAGCAGCGGTTACCAAGAGGCAGTTACACGACGTTTACACTTGATGGCCATAAATAGGAGAAACAAAGATGAAGCAAGGGTTCCACAACCAACCATTCGACACACTATGTCAAACTTTTATATTTTCTCTGCAAATTAGCCATAGCCTTAGTTTTTGGAGCTCTCACTGAACCTCCATAGGAGTAGGTGTAATATAACTTAGCTTGTTCTCAAAAAACCATCAAGAACATCAAACACCCTCATTCGAACATTGTTCGGAGAGGTGTGAACCGTGTTATTGTCGTTGTTCAAGAAGTCAAAGGTCCATTGATTGCAATCAAACACCAGATTTTCCTCGCCGGAAAACAAATTGGACACTTAGTGGGACAATTGTGTTTGATTTGATGGCTCAAAGACAAAGCCAAGAAGAATGTGATATTTCACCTGGAGTTGTGAAGGATTTGGTGGCAAAGTTCAATTCTGGTCAAGCAACAAAAAGGGTTGCCGGAACAATGACATGGTTGAAATCTTGCCACCGGCGGCACCTTATGCTGAGGTAACTACCACTGTCATGTCACTCCGCTCAATAGTGGAGGAGAAACGCAAGATGGTGGTTGTGAACCGCAAGATGGTGGTAGAGAACCGTCAAGTGATGGTGGAGAACCGTCTACTGATGGGAGTCGGAGGAGAGTGGCGGCTAGTCGTCTCTGCATAGTCATCACCGACAACGGAGGGATTGCGGCTGTTGGGAGTCGAGGAGAGAAGGGGAGGAGGCGGAGGAGACAGGGTCCGAGAGATGTATTCAGGGACTATAATAATTATTTTTTATTTTTATTATTAATAGTTGTCAAT